CGTCTAGCTAAACATATAAAATTAAGTGTATAATAATGATAGTAAGTAGGTTGAGTACGGTCCGGGTGTACGTAGTCGAAAAGGACTGCTGTTGTTGACAGTGACTGGCGTTTCGATAGCCTTTGCGCTAGTCATCTTCAGAGTCAAAGCGAGTTGTATCACGTCAGTTGATGGTATTGGTCGTCTGTCAGTTTAGCCGTGATGTTATTGGCAATGAAAACTCGTAACTCGTCAGTTAGGCTTTGATAGCTTTTGTTCGCAAAAGTGGCATAATTTTCTACTTAGCAATGTTCGTTTATTTCTAAAATTATGCCAATTATTATTCTCTTCTATTTTAAATTACGCTAGTCAAAAAAGCAGAAATACTGAAAGCTTCTACTGTGTAGAAGTAAATGGCAAACACGTTCTAGACTATTCACCCTATTTACATCTAGAAACTTTAAGAATGCATAATTCATTGTCTGACAACGATTAACAGCCAGCACGCGGATGCCATCTTCAGTTGGTTAACTGAATTAGTAATGCGCATGCATTGAGTTCTGTGGAAACAGTCCTGGGTCACTTCCTGAAGAGAAAAATTAATTTCGTTACGTCAATTTGCCTGTAACATTGAGCTCAGCTCGGTTGCATGATCAATAAATGACAATTTTGTACTGCAAAACTAGATAAAAGTGCAAATATGCCAGCGGGCGAGTGCTATTCTAGCACAATCTTTCAAAGCCTATAATAGCAGCTAGCTTTAATACTTAAAGAAACTAGTGCCTTGAGAAGCCGAAGTCATGCAGCTATCCTTGAATTGCGCTCTGAGCTATTTACTAATGCTTTGTTTAAAACTTTGTACTTGACAAACGCGAACTTTGAGAAGAGGTTGATGTACAGTATTGTGCAAAAAAAATGAAAGCGGATGTCGCCGAAATCTGCGAATTTCGGCGAACAAACTGCGAACTTTCCAATCAGACGAAAAAGTGGCTAAATCTTGATGCATCTATTCAGGAGTACCCAACGTCAATTTTCGGAAAATATCTGTTCGGAAGACGATTTGAGATCTAGAATTTTCGGAGCATTTGTTGTAAAATTTCTTGCTTGCCTGCCTCTCCTAGGATTTTCGAACATCTAAAAAATGGTATAATTGCCCATTTTAAACGGATTTTTACCCTAAAAAGGTCACCTAGAATTTTCGGGAGCCTCTTTTCTGGCTGAAAGTTTCGAAAAGGTGAGTTTTGATCCCTATAATTTTCGGATCACTAGACTTTCAGCTAGGAAATCCGAACAGATGAAAAATTTTTAGGGGATAAAAATATGCTTATATTTACTGTTTAAATACTAAAATACGTTTAACAATGCTATGTTTAAGTGGTTTTGAACTATATTCTCGTTGGGTGCCCCTGTCTATTGTTCTAACGTCGACGAAATTTCGCAAGCTTGATGATGAACGGAAACGAAATTTCGCTGCATGAGACAAATTTCGTCTCTTCGTTTGGTCGAATCGAAACGAAATTCCGTTTAGTCTAGGCGAAATTTCGTCTGGCGAAACGAATTTTGGTCTTTCAAAAATTCTTAAATACTATAGAATACAGCTGTAATCATCAGCTCATTGCTAAAGTACATGTATGCGCGATCCTAATTAATTTCCTGTGATTTACAAAAAAAAAAAAAAGGTCGCAACGATTGCCACAATTGTTGTGGAGATCGAAAATTTAAGACAAAACGGCGCTTTTTATAAATCAAATAGTATTTTTTAGTTGTCAACATAATTTTGTTTTACTTAGAGGATGATTACATAGCAACGGGCTGAGATTTCAGCCGGGGTTCTGAAAGAAATCCTCTTGAAATGAAAGTGGCGATTACTGAAGGAGAAGGTTTCAGCCCGGGCTGAAAATCTTATCCCGGTTTCTGAAACCGAATCAGCGTTTTTAGCCCGAGCAAACGGCCTGGAAAAATCCGCAAAAAGTCCATGTATTGAAAACGGAATGTCAGCCCGGGCTGGAAAGGCAACGTGAACATACGCAATGAGTTTGTTTATTTTTCAGCCCTGTTGAAATTTGTCATGAAATCGCAACAATAATTCAGCCTGCCCCACTGGGCTGAAATTCGCCATTTTATCACCCTCTTGATATTGTCCTCCTTTGCATGCTGATACACTTTTTAATACTACTAAATGCAATATTAATAAAGAACCAAACATTTATGTATAAGGTTTTCACCGTTCTTAATTCGGTATACCGCTCGCGGCTACTATACGGTGATAAAAAAAATCGTTAAAACTAGTGTATGTGGTGTTTTTTTTAAATTACATGTAAGTTTTCATATTCCTTCGTCGTAGCCTAGACGTGGCAAAAAGACAAAGCGAGCAGTTGCCAGACCCAAAAGATCGTGGCATTGGCCTTATTCACATCAGTCTGAGGCGGGTTATCCGTTGGATAATTCGTGTCAGACGGATAATGCGTCTTAATTTGAAATGGAAGGGTCTCAAGGGCCATCTCGGGGTGCACTTTCTCAAGATTATTGAATGGTTGCTGAGCACGTAAACAAGAAAAATGCTGGCAAACCACGTGTTTTGGTGATTAATCCTCTTCTACACTCGCTTGCTGCTGTTGCTGCAACCTCCAATGCTGTGGCTTTCTATTGTTACCTTTAATAATGATACAAAGCTACCGCCAAAGTGATAGACTGCAAAACAGTTCGTATTTTTCCGTATTCAAGTACGCGCGAGCAGTAAAACAAAAGGTCTGGAACAAGGCTGAATCTACCAAAGTGAATTTTGCGCGATTTCAGTACCGCGAATCCGATCCCGGTTAGGCGGGTTACCCCACCTTGAAACGTTTACATGGCAAAATTTGACCCCGGCTGAGAGGGTTACCCGGTCTGGCGCCAGACCGGGCTACCCGCCTCGGCGGGTCACCCCACCTATCATGTAAACGTGATCCAAGTAAAATGAGACATTATATGGACAGGCGGGTTACTCCCACCTAAGCGGGTTACCTCACCTATTCCCCCACCTCCATGTAAACAGGCCCTTAGTCATACCGGGTAACACTTGTAGCAACACAAACCATGACAAACGGCAAGCATAAATTATAATATTTGAAGTTCTTCAGTTGGCAAACGATTAGGTTAGGTCAGTAGTAAACTTTCCATTGCCACAAAAAGCGAGAAGACTCTTAGTCTGTTAAGTTCCGTGAATAAAAAACACAACCAAACACTGTCCAGGGGCACCCAACGATATTGTAGTTCAAAACCACTTAAACATACCATGTTGAACGTATTTTATTATTTAAACGGAAGATATAGGCACATTTTTCTCCCCTAAAAATTTTTCATCTGTTCGGATTTCCCAGCTGAAATGCTAGTGATCCGAAAATTTTAGCGATCAAAACTTACCTTTTTCGAAAATTTCAGCCAGAAAAAATGCTCCCGAAAATTCTAGGTGGCCTTCTTAGGGTAAAAACCCATTAAAAATTGGCAATTATACTATTTATTAGATGTTCGAAAATCCTAGGAGAGGCAGGCAAGCAAGAAATTTTACAACAAATGTTCCGAAAATTCTAGATCTCAAATCGTCTTCCGAACAGATATTTTCCGAAACTTGACGTTGGGTGCCCCTGACTGTCCAAAGGAAAGAAAAATATGCTGCAAAAATACATACATACATACATACATACATACATACATACATACATACTTACGACGGTGATTTTTGCTAGGAACAATTGCACGTTTGTAACGTTCCGCGTCAAGTCAATCTTATGTTCATACAGACAAGAACAACTGAAAACGAGTTTAATTTTTGTCTTTGAGAGCCAAATTATATACCTGGCGGCACAAGTAAACGATACCGCCCTTGAATTATATGAAAAGTCTCTGCTTTTTATTTGTGGTCTTTATTTGACAGACTGTGACTATGAACTTGAAAAGGTTAGAGTCGCAGAATTGTCTGTTGGTGACATCAGCGTTGCTCCTGCTAGTACAGCACGAAATCTTGGAGTTCTGTTTGATCGAAATCTGAAGTTTGATGCTCAAATTACGAAACATGTTGTGCAGGTTATTACTATCTGTACAATATAAGAAAGATCAGGAAATACTTAACGTTGGATTCAACCAGATGTTTGGTTCATATACTGGTAATGGGGCGAGTATATTACTGTAATAGTTTACTCTACGGTCTCCCAAGAAATAATATCAATAAGCTACAGCGTCTTCAGAATATGGCTGCCAGGTTAATAACAAATACTCCGCAGTTTTGTCACATCATACCTGTACTGTGTCAGTAGCCTGTGTCAATTGCACTGGTCACCGATAGGTGTCAGGATTAAATTCAACGTGATACTTATAACATCTAAAGCGATACACGGACTGGTTCCATATTATATACGAAGAGTCCTCCTACAACCTCAGGTCAAATGATGAACTGTTACTTTCTCCACCGAAGTTCAAGTCTGAAAAGACCTTAGGCGACAGGGCTTTCCAAGTGGCTGCGCCGACTCTATGGAACAAACTTCCAAGTGCATTAAGGATGGAAACAAGCTTGAAGTCTTTTAAAGCCAAGCTGAAAACTTTACTTTTTAAAGAAGCCTATGATTTATAGTTTTAAGACTCATGAATGACTTGTAGAACGTTTTTAAGATGATTTCAATTACTTAGTTTCAATATATTTTCTTTAATCGAATCTTATAATTGCCTTCTTAATTGTATATATAGAGAGATTTATACTAAATTTTTAGGGTTTTTATTTATTTATTTATTATGTTTTTATTCTACTTTATTTTTATTTTTTGTTAGTGCGCATTAGATCATATATTTGAATGCTATTTTGCGCCTAATAAATAATAAATTATTATTTACGATTTAGTTCTTACTAAGTCCTTTTTTAAGCACGCGTTAAAAAAGGAAAACACAGCAACAAAGAAAAAACTTGGTTGGCCGAAAAAACTATTTAACCTTATTTTAATTATTTATGCAATCATCTCACTAACAATGGTTTCGATTTCTTTTGTTTGACAGGCACTGACGCATATTCATTTGCAGGATTTCGCGCCTGTAAATGTTTGGATAATTACTATCGAACGAATCTGTTTGAGAATTGTACACCATGTGAAAAGAAACAGGGACTAAATTGTCAAGATGATTTTGCGAATCTTACAGTTGGCTTTTGGTGGCGGTGGAAAGATGAGACACACTTAGAACAGTACAGAAACTTCAGTAAAATCCTAAAGAATTTCTCCTTTACTCCTGAATTACACAAAGCAAATGATTCCGGTATTGAATACCCGCACACCATACCTCAACCGTACAGATGTCCCATGGCAGAAGCTTGTAAGGGAGGTTTAAATTCTTCATGTGAGGCTGGTTATGAAGGACCGCTATGTGCAGTTTGCAGCGATGGATATCACAAACAACTGAAGAAATGTAAGCTGTGCCCAACAAAAGGATGGATGATTGGACAGCTTGCAATTATTGGGGCGTTAGTTATAATATTTGTTATACTTGTGGTGTGGGGAAGCAAGAAAAAGAGCAAAAAAGACGCTGGACGACCTTTCCTTGACAAGCTCCTCGGAAAGATTAAAGTTGTGATTGGCTTTTATCAGGTGCTGTATGGGATCATGGAGGCGTTTTCATACATAAAATGGCCTGGAAGTCTTTCCGTTGTTGGGGAATATTCCGAGATTATTCAGATGAACATCGTTCAGATAGCTCCCCTCCACTGCATCCTTCCTGGCTTGAAATTTGACGCATTCACAAGTTTATTTGCAGTTATGGGATTTAATATTGCAGCAGTCATCGTCGCCCTCTCTAGCCTCGCCCTTGCCACTTGGATATCGACACGACGTATGTCGAATGAAGAAGAAAAAAGGAAGAAAAGGGAGCGCATTAAAGCAATCGTAAAGAGAAATCTGTTTTTCTTTCTTTACGTGACCTATCTGAACACTTGCCTAAAAACTGCTCAAGTCGTACCTCTTGCCTGCCACAGGATCTGCGTTGACGAAAAAGATGCTGAAAGCTGCGAGGAGTATTTAAAGGCCGACTACAGCATTGACTGCAAAGGAGAGAGATATAACCGATTAGTCATCGTGGGATACTGTTCCATTGTGTATGTAATTGTTCTGCCTGCTGCTGCTTTCATAGCAATTTGGAAACAAAAGAGAGCGGCGAGGAAAACTGAGGAAGAAACAAGAAACGACACAAATGATTTTGAAGACCAAGGCACCGAACAATCAGGACTGCGCTTCTTACACGAAAACTACGACCCCCGTTGTTGGTATTGGGAACTAGTGGAGACAGTTCGAAAGGTTATTTTGACATCTGGATTGATCCTTCTTGGTGGCGAGAGCAGAGCTTACATTGCGCTAGCATTGCTTTTATCTGGATTGTACGGGATGTATTTCGGGCTAAAAAAGCCCATAAAAGATCGATTCGAAAACAACCTTATGCTGTCTTCACTTGCCGTTACGTTCGTAAACCTTGCAATAGGAGCCGTAAGCACAATCCCGAGTGAAGGTTTTTCGACATCAGTCAACCCAATCGTGGATACTCTGGTGTTCAATGGCTTGGTCTTTGTTGCCAACACCTTGGTTATTGGAGTCCTTGTCGGTAAGTTATCATCATGCATTCTATTCTTCTGTCCCAAAGTCCCTTTACATTTAACAGTCAGGTTCATACCTTAACTGGGCACCAGACTGATTAACTTGGTAAAAGTTCTTGCAATGAAAGATACATAGCTTACTTCATAATTAATGAGTGCGCACGATTCACGAGTTGTACTGAGCGAACCATAGCAATGAAGTAATTTGCTTATTAAATGAGTACTAAGATATAACGAAAGTTCTTTTTCTTTTTCTACTTTTAATCACGACCAAATCAAATAGGCCTTGGAAAGGTCTTCTTAGCTCATTCCTCTACGAACAGCGATATACTTGCACTTGTGGGTGAAACTAGCTTAATTAAAACGAGGTTACAGGATATTGCCATTTTTATGTTTAAAATCAACAAAACATTATTACCGACAAATACATCGCAACTCTTTCGTCGCTCACAGGTAGATTATTATATACCAAGAGCAAGTGTTACGTACGGAAAACACTAACTGAGGTTTTTCGACCCTACTTAACGGTCGAAGTTAGGTATGAGCAATAGAAACGAGATATCATTAAAGAAAATCATAGACAGCATAAAGAAAAAGGACTTGGAGGGGGCAGGGGGGTTAATTAAAGAAGAAACATGTAAGGGATGTTAATTATGCATAACTTACGTCAGTATAAAAGTAGCTGTGAAGTATTGCAATAAGATTATTTCTTTTAGAAACCTTCATCTTAGATAGTTGAAAATTAATCCAGATTTGGACTGAACTGGATTTTCAGAAGCCGATATCTTTTATTAACTACTTTTAATAACATTTATATGTTAACAATTTTTGAAATAATTAGTTTAGCTATGATAATAAATCTTTATATTATACTGTAATAACTAATTCTCACGTAAAAGTATTCCCTATTAGTGGGCCTCCTTAGGCATGCTAGAAGACCTAATTACACTTAATTGAAGTTGTATGTATGTTGTGTATGTGTGTACCATCTTTGTTGTCTAGAGAAAAATTCGTATGCGGCCCGCAATTGTTCATACAACATTTTTCACTTGTGAGAAAAACCGTTTGACCAGTCAGGTTGTTTTTGCTTTGTTTAGAGTAAATCTCGGTACTTTTGAAATAAAACAATGTCATGACCTCTGAGTTTATTTCTAAATTATGAAGTTTTCTAGTTTTTTTTTTCAATGTATTACCATGAACGCTTTACTTGAATTAGAAAAATGTTAAACGATTTTTTCTACGTGATATACCTTTTTATCACCAATTAGATGATAATATTGTAGTAATCCCCTGTATATACTTACTACCTTTGTGGCACTTCAAATGAAGAACAAATGAAAGGTAAACGGGAGAAATTTTAAAAAAGACACTCTGATGGTGATAGTACCGTACCGTGATATGATCCGAAAAAGCGTTAACCCTTTTAAGTCCCAATATCCACATACAAATTCTCCAAAAGGATCTCTATATATTTCCTTAAAGAATGAGTTCAGAGAATTTGATAAAAGATCAAACATTTTCTCTTAGGTGATCATTTTATTAATTCTCATAACCTAATCTCTTGACAATGTATGTCTATTGTTATGAGAAAATTGATGTTGGTCACTATTGGGACTTAAAGGTTTAAAAACATAGTAAGCAATATTATTTTACTTCTTTAGCACTTCGGGTATTTTACCTTTAATTGTTAAATCAGTTCTTTCAAGGCTTTTTGTGAAAACAGATAGTTTTTTTTACTCATTATCACCATTGTACTGTTCTCGTGCAAGTAACCGCCTTCAGGTCTTTCCTCTGTGATGAAAGGTTAATATAAATTGAATCTATAAAGGCCAAGTTTTAATTTGAACGAGTGTTTATTTTGTTTCAGTGCAATATCTGGTGTATATTTACCACTTTGTGAAAGAGTGGCGCAAGCATCCAAAGTGGTCATTCTCCTGCTGCCTGGCCTTGCTATTGCCACTTAATCAACTACAAGGAGAGATACGCGGATTAACTGGCAGGAACATACTCAATCAGCAACTGCAAACTGGTGACATCGAGATGCCAACCATTGCTAGTACTTTAAGGGAGAGTGGGGCAGTTGATGTTACTCTTGAAGACCATAGTGCAGAACGAGAACAGGAGGCAACAACTGACGAGAAAACCATTGAACACGGCGTTTTGACAGTTGCAAAGGTGATCTGTGCTAGTACTTTAGGGGAGAGTGGGGCAGTTGATGTTACTCTTGAAGATCACAATGCAGAACGTGAACAAGAGGACACAACAACTGACGAGAAAACCATTGAACAGGGCGTTTTGACAACTGCAAAGGTGATCTGTGCTAGTACTTTAAGGGAGAGTGGGGCATTTGATGTTACTCTTGAAGATTATGATGCAGATCGTGAACAAGAGGAGGCAACAACTGACGAGGAAACCACTGAACAGAGCGTTCAGACAATTGTAGAGGTGGTTATTCATGCGCCTCCAAGAGAAACTTACGACACCAAACTCTAATTAGGGCCAGTTATTTAAGGTGGCCCGTTCCTATTTATATGCGTCTTGGTTATGCTTTTGATTCGCGTTTTTTAGAATGAAAGATGCAACCGATTTCTACGATTTTTTGAATCCTTAATAAATAATGATGGAACTTTAAGAAAATGGTATTTATTTTCTTATAGGTATAAAAACTTTTGAGATATCGGCATATATTTAAACCTCATTTTTACGAAAAATGAAAATACCTTCGAAATCCCACGATAGATTTTTGCATAACTTCAGCAAATAAGCCTCAGAGCTCTCTAGTTTTATGTCTGCAAGTTTGAAGGCAATCGTGACCGTAGAAACCGCGCCACAAAATGTTGGTCAAATTTAATGCTAAAATGATAGGCTACAACCTTGTGAACGTAAACGCACAAAAAGCGGAAGAAAGCTGACAAACTACCTCTTAACTGGAACGTTGTTCTTACCCAAAACATTGTTGGAAGGAAATGAGTAATCGGACAACTACGGCGAACGCAGTTAACGCTTTAATACATCCAACTTTCTGCTACAAATTGCGCGTTGAAATTAAATATATTCTATTTATCCAACTTACTCTGCATTTGTCCGTTCATTTTCGACAAAAATATTAAGAAAACAAAACACAGCATCTGCAGAAACCGCTTGGCAGTTACTAGCTTAATTAAAACGAGGTTACAGGATATTGCCATTTTTATGTTTAAAATCAACAAAACATTATTACCGACAAATACATCGCAACTCTTTCGTCGCTCACAGGTAGATTATTATATACCAAGAGCAAGTGTTACGTACGGAAAACACTAACTGAGGTTTTTCGACCCTACTTAACGGTCGAAGTTAGGTATGAGCAATAGAAACGAGATATCATTAAAGAAAATCATAGACAGCATAAAGAAAAAGGACTTGGAGGGGGCAGGGGGGTTAATTAAAGAAGAAACATGTAAGGGATGTTAATTATGCATAACTTACGTCAGTATAAAAGTAGCTGTGAAGTATTGCAATAAGATTATTTCTTTTAGAAACCTTCATCTTAGATAGTTGAAAATTAATCCAGATTTGGACTGAACTGGATTTTCAGAAGCCGATATCTTTTATTAACTACTTTTAATAACATTTATATGTTAACAATTTTTGAAATAATTAGTTTAGCTATGATAATAAATCTTTATATTATACTGTAATAACTAATTCTCACGTAAAAGTATTCCCTATTAGTGGGCCTCCTTAGGCATGCTAGAAGACCTAATTACACTTAATTGAAGTTGTATGTATGTTGTGTATGTGTGTACCATCTTTGTTGTCTAGAGAAAAATTCGTATGCGGCCCGCAATTGTTCATACAACATTTTTCACTTGTGAGAAAAACCGTTTGACCAGTCAGGTTGTTTTTGCTTTGTTTAGAGTAAATCTCGGTACTTTTGAAATAAAACAATGTCATGACCTCTGAGTTTATTTCTAAATTATGAAGTTTTCTAGTTTTTTTTTTCAATGTATTACCATGAACGCTTTACTTGAATTAGAAAAATGTTAAACGATTTTTTCTACGTGATATACCTTTTTATCACCAATTAGATGATAATATTGTAGTAATCCCCTGTATATACTTACTACCTTTGTGGCACTTCAAATGAAGAACAAATGAAAGGTAAACGGGAGAAATTTTAAAAAAGACACTCTGATGGTGATAGTACCGTACCGTGATATGATCCGAAAAAGCGTTAACCCTTTTAAGTCCCAATATCCACATACAAATTCTCCAAAAGGATCTCTATATATTTCCTTAAAGAATGAGTTCAGAGAATTTGATAAAAGATCAAACATTTTCTCTTAGGTGATCATTTTATTAATTCTCATAACCTAATCTCTTGACAATGTATGTCTATTGTTATGAGAAAATTGATGTTGGTCACTATTGGGACTTAAAGGTTTAAAAACATAGTAAGCAATATTATTTTACTTCTTTAGCACTTCGGGTATTTTACCTTTAATTGTTAAATCAGTTCTTTCAAGGCTTTTTGTGAAAACAGATATTTTTTTTACTCATTATCACCATTGTACTGTTCTCGTGCAAGTAACCGCCTTCAGGTCTTTCCTCTGTGATGAAAGGTTAATATAAATTGAATCTATAAAGGCCAAGTTTTAATTTGAACGAGTGTTTATTTTGTTTCAGTGCAATATCTGGTGTATATTTACCACTTTGTGAAAGAGTGGCGCAAGCATCCAAAGTGGTCATTCTCCTGCTGCCTGGCCTTGCTATTGCCACTTAATCAACTACAAGGAGAGATACGCGGATTAACTGGCAGGAACATACTCAATCAGCAACTGCAAACTGGTGACATCGAGATGCCAACCATTGCTAGTACTTTAAGGGAGAGTGGGGCAGTTGATGTTACTCTTGAAGACCATAGTGCAGAACGAGAACAGGAGGCAACAACTGACGAGAAAACCATTGAACACGGCGTTTTGACAGTTGCAAAGGTGATCTGTGCTAGTACTTTAGGGGAGAGTGGGGCAGTTGATGTTACTCTTGAAGATCACAATGCAGAACGTGAACAAGAGGACACAACAACTGACGAGAAAACCATTGAACAGGGCGTTTTGACAACTGCAAAGGTGATCTGTGCTAGTACTTTAAGGGAGAGTGGGGCATTTGATGTTACTCTTGAAGATTATGATGCAGATCGTGAACAAGAGGAGGCAACAACTGACGAGGAAACCACTGAACAGAGCGTTCAGACAATTGTAGAGGTGGTTATTCATGCGCCTCCAAGAGAAACTTACGACACCAAACTCTAATTAGGGCCAGTTATTTAAGGTGGCCCGTTCCTATTTATATGCGTCTTGGTTATGCTTTTGATTCGCGTTTTTTAGAATGAAAGATGCAACCGATTTCTACGATTTTTTGAATCCTTAATAAATAATGATGGAACTTTAAGAAAATGGTATTTATTTTCTTATAGGTATAAAAACTTTTGAGATATCGGCATATATTTAAACCTCATTTTTACGAAAAATGAAAATACCTTCGAAATCCCACGATAGATTTTTGCATAACTTCAGCAAATAAGCCTCAGAGCTCTCTAGTTTTATGTCTGCAAGTTTGAAGGCAATCGTGACCGTAGAAACCGCGCCACAAAATGTTGGTCAAATTTAATGCTAAAATGATAGGCTACAACCTTGTGAACGTAAACGCACAAAAAGCGGAAGAAAGCTGACAAACTACCTCTTAACTGGAACGTTGTTCTTACCCAAAACATTGTTGGAAGGAAATGAGTAATCGGACAACTACGGCGAACGCAGTTAACGCTTTAATACATCCAACTTTCTGCTACAAATTGCGCGTTGAAATTAAATATATTCTATTTATCCAACTTACTCTGCATTTGTCCGTTCATTTTCGACAAAAATATTAAGAAAACAAAACACAGCATCTGCAGAAACCGCTTGGCAGTTTTTAGCTTCAAAGGTTGTCGTTCTGAGGCGAAATAAGCCCGCTAGCAGGGACCGCGGAGCAAGGTGAAAAGTGGGAGGGCTGACAATTGAAAATATTTTTTTCATATTGAAAATCGAAAAAAGGAATAAAATCATAGTATTTGATTTGTTTCTGTCGCGTGACTTTGCATACTTTATCCAGTATTTGTTGCTCTTTATAGGTCGGCATTCTTGACGACATCTCGTTTATCTCGCGCGAGTATCAGCGAGATCTCGTATGTATTTATGTATAGTATAGAAAATACTACACTTAAGTGATCTGAAAAATTTCTAACTATGGCCATTCACTGTTCAAGTAATGTAATTCTTCTTGCCATCGAATATTTCCTTAATTCGAAAGGGGAAAGACAAAACATAAAACTTTTATCAACTCAAAACAACTACTCACCCTCGTTTGGCTTGAAAAAGCTAGTAATTTTCTTCATTTCGTCTGATAAAACTGATAAAAAAACTCTGCCGGGGCTGGAAGTACAAAACACGCTGCCGAACGAAGCGAAGGGGCGGCCAAGGCATGGCGTTTGGTCAAGGGGCAAGTCGGCTCCAGGGCACAATTACCGCGAAAAGCACAGGAGCCCCACAAAATGCCTGGGGTTTGAAATTAAAGAAAATACAGAGAATATATCGGAATATAGACGGAAAAACTTGTTTCAAGTCTTTTTTTATCTTAATTATTTTTCTTTTTAGCGCAAAAAGTGGGGGCGGGGACGCAAAAAAGTGGCGGGGCCGCGGCCCTACCAGCTCCTCCCCCTCCGCGGTCCCTGGCTAGTTCGAGAACACCTTGCCATCCAATTTTCAACTGCTATGAAGTCCCTCTCGCACGATAATATATTCAAGATCTCTGACTTTCCTTTCACATGCTCACGAGCAGTATGCCACTTGGGACGCCTCTATACTTTGACTTTTAAATAATTTGTCTACGAAGAACATGTAAAAAAAAGAAAGAACAAAGAAAAATCACTAAACTGAAAATGAAATAGTAGACAAAACACGGTTTGCAAACTAAATGTCTAATTATGTTTTATACACATTGTTATAGGACTAATAGGAGCAAAAAAAGGTTTTGTTAATGACTGATATAATCATCGGAAAAGGCTTATAAGGCCCCTAACAAAACAAAGGCAAATTATACCATAAATTTGATAGTTAACAGATTTCCACATGTAAATAATAACTATTATCCCCAAGTGGCATACTGCTAGTGAGCATGTGATAGGAAAGTCAGAGATCTTGAATATATTATCGTGCGAGAGGGTCTTCATTGCACTTGAAAATTGGATGGCGAGGTGTTCTCGAATTCGCCTCAGAACGACAACCTTTGAAGCTAAAAACTGCCAAGCGGTTTCTGCAGATGCTGTGTTTTGTTTTCTATAGTATTATTGTCGAAAATAAACGGACAAATGCAGAGTAAGTTGGACAAATAGAATATATTTAATTTCAACGCGCATGTAGCAGAAAGTTGGTTGTATTAAAGCGCTAACTGCGTTCGCCGTAGTTGTCCGATTACTCATTTTCTTCCAACAATGCTTTGGGTAAAAACAACGTTTCAGTTAAGACGTAGTTTGTCAGCTTTCTTCCGCTATTTGTGCGTTTACGTTCACAAGTGTGTTAGCCTATCATTCTAGCATTAAATTTGACCAACATTTTGTGGAGCGATTTCCACGGTCACGATTGCTTTCAAACTTGCAGACATAAAACTAGAGAGCTCTGAGGCTCATTTGCTGAAGTTAGGGAAAAATCTATCGTGGGATTTCGAAGGTATTTTCATTTTTCGTAAAAATGAGGTTTTAAATATATGCCGATATCTCAAAAGTTTTTATACCTATAAGAAAATAAATAACATTTTCTTAAAGTTCCATTATTATTTATTAAGGATTCAAAAAATCGTAGAAATCGGTTGAATCTTTCATTCTGAAAAACGCGAATCAAAAACATTAACAACACGCATATAAATAGGAACGGGCTACCTTAAACGGAGTTTAAATAAAACCGTGTTCTCATCAATTTTCAGTTTGCTGAACGCTTTTTTCTTAACACTTTTTATGAAAGGTTTCATGAAAGCATGATCATGAGGTGTGCACTTGAAAAGCACTTATTCTCTTAAAATAACCCACTGAGGAAGATATCTGCTTGGAGGGACAAAGCTTTGCTAAACCGCGGCCTAAATTAGACTCCGTTTACTGAATAACCGATCCTAAGTACATAAACGTGTCTGACGGGTTAAAAATGAAGTTTCACTGCGTCTTCTTTCTCCTTAAAGAAGGATGAAAATAGATTATCTAGCGTTAGGTAAAGTAAGCCTATAGAATCATGAATTAGGATTGAAATCATTCTCTCGTTTGAGTCAGTAAATGTTATGAGTAGGGATAGTTCCTCTTACTGACAGCAACCTTGGTTCTAAGTTACAACTTATCTAAGTTGTACAAGATATTTAACAGTATAATTTATTGATAATGGTAAGGGGTCTTAACTAACTCTTCGAACCTCCCGTAAGTGACCCCCTAAATTGCGAACAATAAGTAGTCGCTTCCATGATGCGGTCAGTTATGAGAGTCAAAGAAGGTCTTTTGACAGGACTGAGAAGTTCGGATACATCTAAGTTTTTGAAAGAATACATTGCACTTCATTTTAAGATTACAGTATATGTAAATCCATATTGTTTTTTTTTTCTCTAAAACTTCTGCTCACATTATGAGTAGCGCACTACCATACATACAGGGGACACAAAGATCAGACCATTGTACCAGGTAGCAGTTGCTTAAACAGGTTAAGAACATTGGAAAATTCTTAAACTGTCATGCTAAAAAGTGATTGCGTGCGATTACGAAAAATTCCAACTAAAAGGCTGTGAATGGGAAAATTTTGGTGTTTCGGATAAGTGGTCGTTTATGGGAGCTGGTCGCTTGCGAAATGTGGTCGCACATACAGGTTGGACTGTACTAATAGTTTTCGTTGATCAGTTCAAATGAAATTAGGTGGTTTTAAGCTTAGTGAGATGAGTGTAGATACATAAGATTTGAGACTTACAGACTTAAGCGTAGTCTTGTTCTACAGAACGACACTCGAAATACCTGAATCTTAATTTGAGAATTTTCCTGCAGATTAACGTACCTCATAGCAGAGGACAAATCACTTTAGGTTCGCACAATGCGGAGATAACCAGTTATGGCTGTCCATCTCAAACCAAGTGTGATACTTCATCTTAAATTTTCTGGAATCTCTCAGATGGAGTAGATCGATCCAACTGTTATCCTATTTTTATTTTTATTTTTATTTTCAGCTATTCACTAAAAGTTCACTTTAAAGTTATTTTCTTTACCTTCCTAACTTAAGCTAAGTGGAAACATATGAGCAGAGATCTTTCATTCTCTCAAAACTGAGTTTTTCTTCTCCGATCGAAATGTCAAACAAAGTGCAATGCTGTGGTGGAAATTTTAGTGAATTTTCCAAACGTTAAATAGTTTGACAAAACAATGAATAGAGAAATGACAACCGATCACCTTTTAAGTACCCGCTTTCTTAGTTTAACTTGTTTACAACTGAATTTATAATTTTTCAAATGCATAAGTTGATTCACTAACGTCTTTTGCTTAACGAAAATTTGTCGGGGTCTTTCGTTTAGGACTTCTCAAGCTAGAGTCGAAAACCTGTATCCAACGTTCAATGGACCGACAGTAGACCCTAGATTAATTCGTTTTATTTTCCAGAATTCCTTTTCACTAGTAGTAATCTTATTTTAACTGGATGTTGAACTGAAACCGTTGTGCTTACCTCAAGGAAGTGTTTTTTTTCCATTAGGTTTACCTGGTGAGATTCGCATTTCGACTCGGAAACTGTAAAAGTTTTTTTTTCCTGTTTAGGCATTTTAATGGGATGAAAAGCTTTAACAAAAAGTAAAACAATAAGAACATACTCGGAGGAAGAGAAAGGAAAGACTAAAATACGTCAAAAGACGTACACTATTTCAACCTCGTTCCCAGGGTCTCTCATCTTCCATGAGAGACCCTGGGAACGAGGTTGACACTATTTGTAATCAGAAACTATCAGTTGTTTCATTATACATCCCAATCATAAACACCCGTTGTAGGATTGTAGCCTTGAGTGTTTAGTTAAGTTTATGATTGTGGAAGTTTTAAATGACAAAGAACTTCCAAACCATTTAGTTTGCAAGGAAACACAGTTTAATTCAAAAGACGGGTGAAGCAAAGTTTAACTTACTGATGTAAGATAAGAACATCATTTTTTTTTTCATGCTACGATCGTTGGGCTTGACAACACATTTTATAAGGTTCTAGCGCGACATATAA